ATGTTGAGCAAGGAAATAATGGAATGTGCAGCCAGACCACCTTCAGCATCTTGCCAGGGATGGATCTGGGTGGTGCATGATTTGCAAGGAGGCCATGTCGCTTTGGGATTTGCCGTGGCGGTGATGATGAAAGGGAAAACTTAGGCTGAAACTCAAGAAGTTTTTCCTTGTGCTGAGATCTCTAAATCACCTCATGGAAATGATGGGAAGACACATTCCTTGAGTGGCTTGGCTTGGATGAAGTATTGGTGCATATGATGTAGGGGAGAATCCTGCACCAGGAGAGAGGGACCTTTCCATCTAGGAACAAACCCCTGCACTGCAGTGGTTCAGTGATGTCTTTTCACCCTTTGAAAGACTCTCTTTACCTAAGGAAAAAGAATGATCCAGATTTTGATCTGAGTTGCACCAGCATTAAACTTGACTGACTCCATGAACTGCAACAGAGAAAACCCATGTTTACACCAGGATAACGGGGATCAGAATGCCGGGATTTCTTTCTAGTTGAAAAAAAACCTATCACTGTAGGTCATATTGACAACTTTCCCTCCCAAAGGCAGGAGTCTTTCCTATGTCCATTGAACAGGTTTTATGTAAGTGTATCTGAGAGCAGAATCTAGCCCACTGACTCCAATGTGACATACATCACGACGGCTAATTACAAGATAAGTGAGGCCATCTGAGTTGGCATCTTCGTGTTTAAAATATTTGTGCCACACCCCACTGAATCATCCTCCCGGTCTTATAATTATGTGCTGAAATAGTCACACTTACTGCTCCACTGCAGCGGCTTCCTTTCCAGGCTGATAAAATCTGAGGCCACAAACTATTTTGCGCTAGAGGAGTTTCCCAGCAGTTTTTGTCCACCCCACCCCCTTCTCCAGAGTGGGGCGAGGGCCAGTGACTAAAGCACAGTTGTGTAGTTTCATGTATTCGCTCCAGTTAATGCAGCTTGGTTTGGTTTCTAAATAGCAGCAAAAGTGGGGAGGGTAATTCCCGAAGTGGTTTTCGGCCCCATGGCAGATCTCACACTGTTGGTCTGGATCATTATGCAGGAAGCAGCTCTTCCCTGGCCTGGCTTTAGGGTGGAGTTTTTGTCTTCACGCTGTAGTAATCCTTCCCTTCTCTGCTGATACCGGTCTGGGCTAATAATCCAAAACTGCCTGCCTGTGTTCCTGGGATTCCTAAGGGTCAGTAATTGGGACTTCTGGATACTGATCGGGGGAGCTATATGCAAACACAATGGACCACCCTGGGGTTCAACATTCAGAGCCAGATCCTCAGCTGGGGGAAGTTGTTGTAGCTCCATTGACAACCTGTGCTGATTTACCTCGCTGAGGATCTGGCTAAAGTGCCTGAACAAGGACCACAAAACCATTTCAAGAATCTTCCCCTCTCCATTCCACCCTCCCAAGCTCTTTCACTGGGAGCACGATAATGAATGGCATTGGCCCAGACTGTACCCTCACCCTGCTCTCTGGTCCATGCGCCTTCCCCTCTGTCCTGTCCCAGTTAAAGCACACAGGAACAAGCTGGCCCAATGTAGAGAGGAAAATAGATCCAGCTTCTTCTTTGTTTAAGCTTAATGCATCGGCTTCAGCATTAGACATTGTGCCAGTATGGACTCCTCCCTTTCTCTTTTCTCTGCTCCGCAAGACTAATGGCTGTCGCCATTGGCTTTCCCCAGTTACAAATGGCGGCTAATGTCTCCTAGCACAGACCAGCCCCCTGTAGGCGTCCCGGTGCACAGCAGAATCGGTCGCGTTTCCATGCGGTGTGAGCCCGTTTGTCCGGGGGTGTTCACACTCTGCAGCACCGGTGGCCCCATTGGCATCTGGTTCTAACGCACAGAAAGGCAGACGTTTTTAAAGTAGGACTCCTATGCTAGCAGGGCCGGTGCAAGGAAGTTGCGCGCCCTAGGTAAACTGCCAGCTTGCGTCCCCCTCCACACCCAGCTAACCCAGCCCCCCCCCCGGGGAGCCCCCCCCCCCCGCGGCAACTAACCCCGCCTGGGGAGACCCCCCTCCCAGCTCACCTCGGCTCCGCCGCCTCTGCTGAGCACACAGGTGCTGCTCTAATTCTCCTCCCCTCCCAGGCTTGCGGCGCCGATTGGAGGAGAATTAGAGCAGGGGCTGTGTGCTCAGTGGAGGAGGCAGAATGGAGGTGATCTGGGGCGAGGAGCGGTTCCCCTGTGCGCCCCCCTCCCCGTTACTGCGGGCGGCCCTCCCCGTGCGCCCCCTGCCCCAGCTCACCTCCACTCCACCTCCTGGCCTGAGCGGGCTTTTAGGCGCCCCCAACCACTAGGCGCCCTAGGCGGCTGCCTAGTTTGCCTAAATGGTTGCACCGGCCCTGCATGCTAGTGAGTAGAATTGGCTGGCTCTGCGGAGAGCACCAGCAGCAAAGAGTGGCTGCTGATTGGCTTTGTCCTCTCCTTGCTATGGCAGGGAGACAGTGGCTCTGGTGTTCCCTGCTCGAGACATTCCTGCCAGTAGTTACCCTCGGAGTGCACCCCCTAATGGGAGATGTTCAGAGGACAGGGGTGTGGTGAGGATAAAAGGCATTTAATGATTCTCTGCAGCTGAGGTACTAGAGTGAAGTGTGATTGACAGATACCTGCATTCTGGTATTTGAGTTGGGGGTGGGGGGGGGGGAGGTGGCTTAAAGCCAGCAAACCCTTGGAAATGTAGACGAGGCCCTGGTCTCTCAACCCCTGAGCAATAGGGCTGTTTGTTTCTGGGTGGGAAATGGGCATAGGAAAGGTCAGTGACTTGCCCCTTGTTGCACAGCAAATCCCTGGCAAATGGGAGAATAGAACACAGAGCAGCAAAGAAGGATGATCCCTAAGAACTAGATTAAACACCGTTTCTCTAAGGACTTGATCCAAATCCAGTTGGAGTCAAGGGAAAGACTCCCATTGAGTTCGGAGGGCTTTGGATCAGGCCCAGGCTGTACAGGATTATAATTTAGTTGCAAACATATAACACACATTGAGTAGCCCCTATGCAAATATCTGGCATTGGAAAACATTGAAAGGTCCGAAGTCTGGGGCACCCAACACGAGCTGCGGGAACGACACCTTTTTCTGTTTCACGGAGTTCTGTCATCTGTTTTCAAGGCATTTGAGTCGATGTGATTTGGCAGAAGAGCGAACTAATGTGGCTGCTTTTTCTAGACTAAAATGTAAGTTATTACACAGCTGTTGTGGAAAACTCTAAATATAACATTGGACCTGCTCCAACTCTTCATCCGGCCAGGTCTCTGCTGGTACAATAAACCCCATGAAAATATCGGTTGGTGTCTTTCAGTTCAGGGTACCCGACCAAGCCAGCAGAGGCAAATGGATGGGGCGGGAACTACTGGTTAAACCTTCCCAGGTGCTTAAAGTGACCCTGAATGAAGACTTGAATACGTCTGATTTGGGTGACTGTACTTTTCCTTCAGGGATATGGAACATGAGATGTGCTCTGTACGGGAAATTGTGCGTCATGTGAAAAAGCCGAGGGATGACGGCCCTGCTTTCTCACCTTACGCCGATGTTGTGCGTAAACCAAACCATCCAGAGAGTAACGTGCGCATCGGCCTTGTCAGAACGACACAGCCGAAGCCTTTCAAAGCCGGCAGGGATTTAGCTGGCTTTAGCGGCATTATCTGCACAATGTGAACGATGTCCTGCTGCTGTCGTAAAACAAGAGTCCGCGCTGAAGCACAAAGTGTCCCATTTCTGCTACGTTGCTGTGCAGATTAGTAGAATTCTGGGAAGTTCCTTTTTCCATGACAAATGTAACGGAATAGCCAGCTGGGTTCTCCACTTATTTAAATCAGGACTAATGACATTGAAGTCAAAATCCCAAGGGGCCAGTTCGGGGTAGCCAGACTTCAGCATGATCCAGCCACAACCCCTTCTTAGTCCAACACCCCCCCATTGAAGGGTTGCAGGGGCAGTGGTGGAGAAGCTGCCTATAGTGGTTCTGAACCAGACAGGGGAAATCGTCAACAGGGAAGAGGTAACCAGTTTCCATCGCCTCTGCATCACCGGAGCTGCCCAATGGTAACAAAGCAAGGCAGAGAATCTGTCTCGCCAGGTGCATTGTAATGGGGGCTCATCTGATCACAGCTAAGATTGCAGCTTGGTCGGGTGTGGTCACAACATATTTAAAAATTGTATTAAGATGTTAAAAAAAAAAAGTGAACAGAGTTTGAGCATAGAAGTTTCTGGTTATCAGGGAATAACGTACAGATTATCGAGGGTGCAAAGTTTGGTTTATGATCAGGTGGCATAAGGAATACATAATCTGCAATATCCCCAATTGGGGGTAAAAGGTTGATGCGTCAAAGTACAGGCATTGAGATATGAGGGTATGAAGTTCATAGAGTGGCTATGTTCGGGTGTGGGGTATAATGAGTGGATATGATGAGGAGGATGGATTGACCCTCATTTGGTGAGATTTAATGTTCAGGGAGTTTATGGTTCCAGTTCATATGATCCAACGGAGAAGGTCACTTGATCCCTTTCTCATAGTGGGAGAAAGATATCACTTTGGCTCACGCCTACTGGTACTGTCCGTGGCAGGTGATGTACTACTCTGAGTGAAGTCCTGCAGTACCTAGTTGTCTGACTGTGTATGTCACCTCCTAACTTTTTTCTCCTATGGCTACAGGAACGTTGGAAACTTGGGGCACAGGACTTCAGTTTTATCTTCTGCAATTTGCTAATGTTTGCTGATCTGCCAGTCACGGGCACAGAAGAACTGCCTACTTGGTTTGGGGGCATTGTAGATAGCTAACCCCACAGTAGGGAAGGAAGACATCTGAGGATTGGGAAGGAAATTGAGAATCTACTCTCTCCCTTCACTCCTGCCCTCAACCACCTTGACTAAAAGGGGTCCCAGGGAGAGATTATTCTGCTCTCCTTTGAGAGTGATTGGTATTCCTGTAACTTTCACCTGCGTACCTTGGTGCTCTACATCTTGGTTACAAATATTTCTGTTTGGGATTTTCAGAATGACGAGCTTCGAAACCTGTCCCTCTCCGGTCATGTGGGCTTTGACAGTCTTCCAGATCAGCTGGTCAACAAATCAACCTCTCAAGGGTTCTGCTTCAACATTCTTTGTGTTGGTAAGTGATGCTGCACTGCTGAGCAAATGGTTTTTCACAACAAGGCATCATGTGACAAGAAAATTATTAATTTAAACAAAGAGGGGGGGTGTGTCTGTGAGTGTGAGAGAGAGTAAATAAACACAAAAAACCCTTCCATTCAGTGCTGTGGTGACGACGCAGGAAAGGAAACAGAACGCCAGGTTTGTTGGTAGCCAGAGAGCTTCAAAAGCCTCAAGCAAAAAGCCTCTCAGGAAAAAACCTTTCCTGGGGTTTTTATTCTTCTCTTTACTTTGTTTACAACTTATCTGAGTGGTTACATTCTTGCCCATTCAGAAGGCAGGCAGTATACATGAGCATGAGATTACAAACCCATCTCTTAAGCGCGTGGACAGCCAGCTGCAAAGATGATATCATTGTTGCCAATAAGTTTTCCAAACATAGGCGCTAGAACAAGGTCACTCCCGCCTTATTGCCAAGGGAACAGTTTGCCGTTCTTCAAGGCTTATAATTAGGGAGCAACACATTCCTACAATTCAGTAACATGGATGAGACATAAACCAATAGGGTGAGCATTATAAAAGGGAACCAGGGAGGATTGATTTTCCACTAAGTGGAAAGCCTTGATTTTAATCAACCATGTGGCAAAATAGTTTTAACATCTCGGTCGTCTTCAAAATATCATCTAAAGTTGCTCAAACATTGAATGCACTTCTGTGCACAAACAAAACCCTTAGCTTGGCAGAACGTTCCATAAACTATCTATTTCCATTGCTCATGTGTTGAAGCAAAATGTTTTCTCTTTTCTGATTAACGACTTTAGGTTTATTTTTTTTTAAATGCTTTGACTGGGGCTTTCATGTCCTGTTTAGAATATTGTCCACAGTGCAGTTTCAGCTATCTGAATCCACATCTGGCTAGCCAGACTAGACTGTACTCGCAGCATTAGGGGTTCAGGAGCTAGACAGGAGAATGAGCATGGGGAAATATGACCAGAGCAACCGACCATTGCATGAGTCCCTTAGCAGCATGAAGCTGTTTAAAATTCAGCAGAGAGCTTCCCGATTAGCCAGCACTTGGATGATCAAAATGGCATAAATTGCTTGCTTTTTTTCCTTGTGCAGTAAACATTCCTAGCCTAGCATGACTCAATTTGTCTTCATTAACGTAGCAATTTGCTCCACGTTTTTTCTTTTTCAAAATGTGCCGGTCAACTTTTGTTAAGCTCCAAATAGAAATTTCACACACACGTTGCTGCTATTGTCCAAAGGAAGGAGAAAAAAAATTGGCAGCTCTTTGAGGGAAAGCGCACAATTGGCTCCTGCATGGTGACGTAACGCTTCTAAATGTAGCATGTCTTGAGCCACAGAGAACAGTATGCAATGATGACTATGTTTGCTTTAGCAGCTCGCCATCAAACACCGCTCTAGTGATTTACAATAGAACTGTTTAATAATAGTAATTCCATGCACTGTGCATTCCTCAGGGGGACCACATTGAGCTGATTTGTGGCTATGATATAGATACATATTCTTAAAAGCCTTATTGCTTTGAGCTTTGCGAGCTGAGATTCCAAGCTGCTCTTGGTTTGGAGAAAGTATTGCTTTCCAGCCGTAACAGTTTGAGAAACTGGCAGCTAAAACCAGGCAGGGAGAGAAGCAAAAGGGAAAGCCAGATGGCTATGAGAATGACATGATTTTAAGGCTTCCTGTATATCTTGCAACTTTCCAGGATAGGACCGCCTTGAAAATCTGTAAATCCCAGCATTTCTAGCCTCGATGGTTACTGGCCCCTTCAAATGATGATTGATCCCTCAAGCTAGGAGTGGGCTTTTGGACACGGGTCCTCGTTTAAATATTGCAAGTTTTAGGCCCAAAACCAGTGTTTCATTCCCTGCCTGTATATCTTTGCAAGCACCAAAACTTATTCATATGGCCTGTGAGTCAATGCAAGAAAAGCAGGAGTTGTGGTATTATTCCAATGAGAGAACAATAATGAATAGGTGTAGAGATCTTAGGCTCCCTTGGTGGAAGGATTATGGCTAGGAGCAAATGGTTCAGCTAGAAAGCTGAGCATGCCCAAAACAGCCTTCTGAGGGCTAGAATGAAACCCAAGGTGTACAAGTCTGGGTTCAGCGGGGTGGTGTGATTCCTACCAGGAGCAGCTCTGCAAGTTGGGACCCTTCCTTAGAGCATAGCGAGGAGGCGAGGATCAGCTGCTTAGAGAGTAGGCTCTCAAGTATTAGGCCTGGTCCACACTAACCCCCCACTTCGAACTAAGATACGCAACTTCAGCTACGTTAATAACGTAGCTGAAGTCGAAGTACCTTAGTTCGAACTTACCGCGGGTCCAGACGCGGCAGGCAGGCTCCCCCGTCGACTCTGCGTACTCCTCTCGCAGAGCAGGAGTACCGGCGTCGACGGCGAGCACATCCGGGATCGATTTATCGCGTCTAGACAAGACGCGATAAATCGATCCCAGAAGATCGATTGCTTACCGCCGGACCCGGAGGTAAGTATAGACATATCCTTAGTGTTGGGCAGGCTCCTGGAATGCGGGCTGTCCAGTGCTAGCGCTGAATGGGCAGAGACCCTGGGTGTGTCTAGCGTGCAATGGCTGGGTGCGATTGCCACCGGAGCCAGCAAACCCCAAGCTAGCTTTAATCTAGCTCGCTCGGTTCCCAGTGCTGTGAAGCTATGGCATGCTTCAGTGCAGGCTGTACAAACCCATCTGGGTCACTGGGTAATTGCGCGTGGGGTTAGCCCACACTGTTGTGGCATCACTGCTCCAGTATCCAAGCTAGCCAGATGAAATCTGGTTCAGGTATGTCGGCCGTAGCTGCAGTCACAGTCCGTGATTGTAGTCTGGACGGACCCTCTGTGACTCAGTTTGAGTGTCGGTTCAACACACCCTGTTCTCATGGAACCCAATCTTTCTTTCCATAGTCCATGCCAAATAGAGACCATGATCTTCTTTTTTTATTTAAAGGGGACACTGTATCACTAAATGTGAAAGGAGTGGACCATGGCAAATAAACAGGTCCTTAACTTAAAAATAGGCTGATCATCTTTGGTTATTAAATGGAAACAGCCATCACAGACGTGTTACTCTTTGCTGCTGGCGACTCTTACAAGGAGGTCTCACATTACCACTGTTGTTTTTGTGAAGACACCATTCCTCTGTACTGCCTTCCATCAAGGTATCTTAGTGGTGACCTGAAAACAAATTGGGCCCACACATTCCCTTTTTGCTTCTTTAATATATTAAAAATGAATGGTCTTGATTTTAACAATTTTTCTCCCTTTCCTGCTCGTGTGTTTACATTAGAAATTCAGGTCTAGTCTGCCCTGGAATGCTCTGTGATAACCAGTGCAATGATGAGGTCACAAGAGTGAAAGTTGAGCATTTGAGAGAAGAGATTGGTAGTCAGAATCTTTTTTTTTTTTTTTAAATTCCTGGTTTCTGTGGTTTGTTTTTAGTTTAGTTTTGTCAATACCTACTTACTGTTAACTTCCATGACTAACATTTTGGTTAAAGGAATTCTTTAACGGAAGGGAGTGTTGATTCTTTACCAGTGTGTTAGTGCTCACAATGAGCAGGTTTTGAAGCCCTCCAGCAAAACTAGAGAAGACCAAGTTTTGCTATTCTTGTCCCCTTTAAGTTTAAAAAGCAAGTAGAAAAACAGTTTCAAGAACAAAAAACAAACAAACCCCAACCTTGTCCTTCTGTAAACATCAGGCTTGGAAGAATTAGATTTTTATTGGTGAATGACACACACGCACGCACGCACCCCCCCCCCCCCCCCCCCCTTGCGAAAAAATATTTCCATTGATGACCATTGAAATTTACAGCTAGGCAAAGTAAGAAAAATGCTGCTTCAGAACTTGTTTGATTTAAGGTTATTTAATTTGTATATTTTGACATGCAGTGTAGGCAATTTGTGTGTTTAATGGTTGAAAAACTTTATTTTTTTTAATCTTAACGTCTGCTGTCGTTAAATAATTGTTGTCTGCCCCCCTCCCGTAACTTTGCGGAACTGTGAAAATTAAAATAGATGAAAAATGAAAACGATGCTTAAATAAACATCTATCTTATCCATCAAAATTATAAATAAAAAAAATTGAATTCTGCCAGGCCTAACCATAAATTATCTAAAACTGCACACGCCCGATTTTTAATATTATAATCATTTGCCTTTTAAGTTACCTTTTAAGAAATAATTTGCTTTTCTATATATCTATATGTTGGCTTCGTCATGAATGCCTCAATCCTGCAGTTAGATCTACATCCAGACTCTGAACCTACGCAGAGCCCCATTGACTTCAAACAACATATAATTACTGATTTCTGTGGGGATCTACGTGGATGCGGGGGTTTGCCTGCTTTGATTTGATTGCCACAACAGGACTTAGACCAGCGATATACACCTCCCTCCATGGGACGCACATGTCATATAAACAGTGTGTGAGGAGTGTCTGGGGAAAGAATTAACTTCTTCATGAGTCAGTAGAGAGGATATTACATAGCCAATCAGTCTAGTGTAAAAATAATCAGCAATGGCAGAAGAAAACACAAAGGAAAAGCGTACTTAGGAATGTAGGATTTGCCATATTTACATCTTGGGTCTAGCAAGTCTAATAACCTGCTTCCAGCAATGGCTGATTCCTGCTCCTTCAGCGGAAGGCGACCCTTGCTTTGCCCCACCTAGAAAACTCACCTGGTCCGTTGACCGATGCTGCACATTTCGGCATCCTACTCAGCCCACCACACTTCCAATCTCTTCTCTAAGTATACCTAGTCCAGGAGGCCTATAAAGCCTAATTCACCCTCTCCACCCCCCGAAGAGGGGTGTTAACAAAATTGTTGTCAGGAAAGTATATTAACCCTTTGCCCCTCCCAAAAATGATGAAACATCATTGTGCTCCATGCTGTTGGCTGGTTACCTAAGTATTTGTGGTATCCCATCCTTTGTCTGTACATTGTCTATAACTGTAAACGTAACCCAGTGGTAAGTGTGAGTGTGTGTGTGGTGCTCCCCTCTGGGCCCGATCCATACAGAAATGGGAGTTGGTTACAGGTCTCAGCCACAGAGCCTGGCTCAAGCGGTAGAAATTCATACGTGTAGCTCTAGTCTAGAGGTACCTGGTGTCTGCCAAACTGGCGGCCATCGCATAGTGGATTGGGGCGCTGGCTTGGGCCGAGCTTCCTTTGATCAGAAGATGTAGGTAGTCCAATGATGAGCGTATCTTACAGATCCTCCTCACTGCCTGATCTTCAGGGGAAATGAGTCTGTTACAACCCCAGCAAAAGCTCAAGCTGTCGCAGCCCATGCTTTTAGCTCTGAAAGTCCCCAGTTCAATCCCCGGTGGCTGACCAAGATGGCAGCCATCTTATAAGGCATCTAGGCCTGAAGAGCTTATCTCGCTGTCTGAGAACCATCTGCTGTGTTTTTGGTGCTACAGAAGTAACTCTGTCTGTCCTGTCTGTCTGTCTGTCTGTCTCTCTGCTCTAAAGAGAGCTTTGGACAGAATGGTAGGGGAGCGGAGTGATCTCTAGCTCTAACACATTCTCTGTCTGCTCAGGTGAAACTGGCATTGGCAAGTCAACCTTAATGGACACTCTGTTTAACACAAAGTTTGAAAGTGACCCAGCCACCCACAACGAGCCCGGTGTGAGGTTGAAAGCAAGAAGCTATGAACTCCAGGAGAGCAACGTCCGTCTGAAGCTGACCATTGTTGACACAGTTGGATTTGGAGATCAGATTAATAAAGATGACAGGTAAGTTGCTTTTACATAGGAAGGGGGGCTCGCACTGATCCATCCTCAGGCCGGAAGGGCTTGAACGTACTACTACAGGAATGGTATTTAGTATCCAATGCCCTTGAGGACTGCAGCGTCAAACCTGGTGCTGTAGTTGGGTTTAGTGGCACACTGATTTAAGGAAACGGCGTAGTCCAGCAGATAGAATGCTGGACCGGGACTCAGGAGACTTGAGTTCTATTCCCTGACCTGCTGTGTGACCTTGCGTGAGTCCCTTCAGCTGTCTATGGGTATGTCTACACATCAAAGAAAAACCCGCAGCTAGCCCGCCAGCCGACTCGGGCTCAGGCTGCGGGGCTGTTTAATTGCTTTGTAGACTTCTGTGCTCAGCTGGAGCCTGGGCTCTGGGACCCTGTGAGGTGGGAGCAATGAAACAGCCCCGTGAGCTCGAGTCGGTTGGCACAGGCCAGCCCTGGGTGTCTAGTTGCTGTGTAGACACACCCTAAGCCTCTATCTCCTCCCATCCTTCATCAGTCTGGTCTATTTAGAATGTAAGCTCTTCAGGGCGGAGACTGTATCTTCTTATGTGCATGTGTAGTGCCAAGTATAATGAAGCCCTGATTCTGATTGGGGGGGCCTCTAGTCACTGCTGTAATAGGAATAATAATGCAGAATAATAATGCACTGGATTGTGGAGATTTATTGTGCCAAGCAAAAGTCCAGTTGCTTCTGAAAACTGTTGGTTTCACAGATGAGCGTATTAAATTGTGCAGTTTAGTGTAAATTAATTTGATCTAATTGTATATAATTTTAATTTGTATTAAATAATATTACTTAATTAGATAATGCTTTGCATGGTGAAAGCACTGTTTAGTCATCAAGTAGGGAATCCACGCCACAGCCGTGTAAAGCAGGTAGATACTATCACTCTTTGATGGATGGGAACCTGATATGGTGAGTGAAGTGACTTGTCAAAAGGTCATTCAAGTCAGTGACAAAGCTGGGACTAGAATTTAGGCATTCCTGACTCGGTGTTCGTTCCTCCAGACCTCAGCAAGAGAGAACTCACCGATCACATGGTTCTTAAGGCCATGTTGGGATGAGGATGGGTTTTAGTTTGGATGCAGATTTTCCCGTTTCAGACTAGAAGTAAACGTTCTGCATGTACGTTCCAACATACTACGTAGACTATTGTTTAGTATTTCCAGGATGCCCAACTGCGCTGTCCGAATAGACATTCATACACTTAAAAACACGTCTGCCTTCTCCTGGGATCTCCTAATCCCAGTCAGTATTTTAAGATTGTTGGGCTCGTCTTAATATTTCTATCCCTTGATGGAAAACTTCTCGAGATTCTTGGCATTGGTTGGTTATTTTTGGTTTTGGAAAGCCATTGCCGTTTTTAAAAGCATCCCGATTGGCTGCGAGTGCACCAAAATGCTGTGTGTGTGTGTTGTGTACTATCCAAGCTTCGCTCCTCCTGCTCTGCAGCAGCTTTTAACTAACGCACCGTGTGCCTTCCTGCAAAGGAGAAATGAAAAGTGAAGTGTGTGTTGACTGTAGGCAGCTCTGTGCTTTGAGCGATGCCATATGCTCTCAAGCTAGAAGGAAGGCAAGTCAGAGAAGGAGCAGGTGTTCAGCATGGGAACACGGCAGCTCGTTACTGCTGGGTCACTTTGCATTGGATTCATTGAACAGACAGCAAGAGCAGGCAGTATTGTGACTGGAGTCCCTCAGACTTCACTCTCCAGAGCTCCTTTAGAGAGGCAGCCATGGTGTGACGGGCATAGGAAAGCCATTGTTCTAACTCTGCCGCAGCACAATCCGAGACATGTCGCCCGTGACTACAGCAACGGGGGCTACCAGATTAGGGCCTTCCAGACCATTCTGGTGACCCTTTTGTACAGCGTCTTCTCTAATTTCGGACCACGACAGGCCCCAAGCAGACAGCCACAACCAATTTTACAATACGCTATTGTCTGAGGCCTCCTTGGATCCTTTGGGGATCAACACTCAGACAGTGTTACCCAGGGGATGGAGACTGGAGGGAGGACTGGGTTCTGAGCATTCCTAGTGAGATGTTTGACAGCTGTTTTGTAGCCATGTGGTTAACAGTGCTGATCACAGTGCGCCCTGCGCAGGTGGTTGTTAGATCACCTGGGCCATATTCTGCACCAATCTCCACTCCAAGAGGTAAACCAGGGAGGAATGTGGTGTATCGCAAATCCAATCATGCACTGCTGCATACAGCCTTCAAACAGCTGCCCTGCAATCTGGAGCCGGACGTGGTTCCCTGCTCTGGATTCAGATACAAGATGCATTTCTGGCTATCTGCGCAGGGAATGTTTTCAGCTCCTCTGCCTGTGACCCCTAATGGGCTCACCTTCATCCCTTCAGCTGTTATCATCATGAGGCTGCTATGAGACCGCAGTGTCAGGAACATCTCTCGGCTTTGTGCTCCCGTCGCTTCTTGGAGTGTGTTTTCTTGGGCCCGAGACTGCAGGGAGATGAGATGGCAGGAAAGCAGCAGAATTTCAATGCAACTCCACTTAACAGAACAAACACCCATTCCTTGCATTGCTCTCTGGTCCCAAGGCAGGTTAAACAGCAGAACATTTAACAAGGTACAAGGGTCTGCTCCTTTTAATCTGGGCAGTGTCTTCTAAATGGCTGACTCTAATTTCAGTCTCGAAGGAGCTCTAAAATGTGGGATTTTATAAAGCAGGGATTTTGAAGCAATATTTCCTGTGAATGTAAGTGTGTTCAAATCGGGGACCTGCTAATGGGCCATAGCTTTTAAAGCCCGGGAGGGAGCCAACCAGGGAAGGGGGAGGGTGTGAAAGTAGGCGGAGCCATTATTTTTGCTGCAGTCTGGCAAATGAGGCCCAGAACTTCAGCTGGTGTAAATTGGCCTCATTCTGTTGAAGTCGCTGATTTACAGCAGCTAAGGATTTACTCCACTGTGTCCAACTGACTGAGTGAGTGAGTGCACATTAGCTGCAGGAAAGATTGTTTAATTGACTTCATTTAAAGTTTTCTAACCAGCGGATAAGAATTTGGACAATTGCTCTCTCTTAGCATGCACTGTTTGGGGGAGGAGGAATCCAACGAATGCCTGCTATTCAAGGGCCTGATCCTGCAATATGCTGTGGGTTGCCAACTTTTGTCGTCTTTATTGGGAGCTAGGGGTGCTCAGAACCTCAAAGGATCAGTCCCGAACCTATCGAGTTCAGCTTTAGGCGGGTGGTGGCTAGCCCTCAGCAACAAGCGGTTTGAACAGCACTAACTACAGAGCTGGGACCATGATACCCTTCTCTGAAAGCGCAGTCAGTTAACGAATCAGATCGCATTGCACCGTGACGGCATCTCCAGTAAAGCTGTCAACAACAAAAAACTACTATTAGCTTTGCTCTGAGATCTAAACTCCCGAGAAGCAGTTATCCCAGGTAAGTCTCTCTTCCCTCTAAAATACCAGCCTGGAGTTTGGAACAGCTGGTATTTTTTTGGCATCACACGTATCTGGTCTCTCTTGATGATGCAGACAAGCAAAGGGTTTGTGCTGTAGGGTGTGTCGAGGAAGTGTGTTCTTCTCTGGGGTAGATGGGTGTTGTGGCCTCAGTGATTTGAAAGCCCAGGATCTCTTCAATCCACCATAGCTGAGCTCTTGCATGATGCGTTTTCTTGTGGTCTAAGGTAAAACACATGGTCATTCAGAAAGGCGTGTGGGCTGGGGATGGGGCTTGGCTCCAGTAGAAAATCTCGTGGTGACCATGAGGGTGGTTGACGGCAGTGTCTTAAAATGAGACTCTTTTCCCCTCCCTCCGCCCCCCAAAAAAGCAAGGAGATTTCATGTGTGTCTGCCAGTTAGACTGTAACTTACCAATAGTGAATGCCCTAATCTGAAAAGAACTGTTCCTTCCAAATTTTCAGCTATAAGCCCATAGTCGAATATATCGACACTCAGTTTGAAGCCTATCTGCAGGAGGAGCTGAAGATCAAGCGTTCCCTGTTTAATTACCATGACACAAGGATTCACGCCTGCCTATATTTCATCGCACCAACGGGACACTCGCTGAAGTCTCTAGACCTGGTCACTATGAAGAAGCTCGACAGTAAGGTACGCACTACCCATGTCATGCCCCTGTAATGCTCTCCTGCTGCCACTTAATTTGGCGACCTTGCCAAGGATCTAACAAACGGTGTGTGGAAAATACCCATTCTCTCTAGCAGCTGTGAATGGATAAGAGTGCAGAGAAGGCTTAAAAGAGCTTGTCAGATCTCTAGACAGCAAGAGCAGGTTAGCACTAATGAATTTCTAAAGGCTCTCACCATAAAATGGTGCAAAAAAAATTGGGCAAAAATCTGGGTTCTTTTTCATCCAAACTGGTCCATCATGTCCAGTTAGAATGATAACATCACCCACTTTATTCCACACCAGCTGCAAATGAGCAGCAATCCTGAAACAGGCTGCTGCAAATGAAGCTGTAGTGTCTGCTCTCAAGGACGGCCCTCCTTTCATACTGATAGAGCCACATTTTTGGCATTTGGGGGTCAAAACTCCCCTGTGCTTTGCTGCAAATGCCCCCCTCAAAGCCAAACACTATTTGATATAGTTGATCAGCAATTCTGCACTGCAGGCTAAACAATCCTTACTGATGATGCAGCCAGTGGATCGAGCGGTGGGTGGGGGGGGGCGCTGATTTAGCCCACAGATGGGTAAAGAGAAGCTCATGTTCAAATGTTTCATGTTCAAGAGCATCTTTTAGTATTGAAAAGTTAGATGAAAACCCAAGCCCACTTGAAAGGAAGCTGGTATTCCTAAATACTTAAGTGCCCTCTGCCCACCAGCACTGTGACATGGTCAACTGCTTGCATTCTGGTTTGAAATTCGTGCAGGACAGTAAAGCAGGTAGCTCTTCATTTCATATGCGTAGAATGTTCCACGTCTATTGAGTGACTCTGGTGCCCGAGAGCCTTGAAGAATTCCTAACAGGTTGCCTGATGATGTGGGTAAAGCTTGGAGTCTGCTTGTTCTGTAGTTGCAGAGATTTGCGGAGAATTTGCCTGTAATTGGCACTAGTCTTAACTTTTCCCTGGACAGGGATTAGTTGCTGTTACAGGGCCATCCTCAGAAAGGAATTAGTTTCTGTAATTGAAGAGGATTTTCAAGCACTGTAGTTAAAATGTCTCCACATAGGTCAATATTAACGACTTCCTTACTGTAGCAGCATTTTATATTGCCACAGGGCAGAATGACTGAAGGAAGGCTACTAATCAGCCCTAGATCACACCTCGCAGTATGGTCTTTTCAGAGCTGGTTTAAAAGGCACTGTGTAGCAAGAGCTACATTAACCTATGGCTGTGGTGAGCTGGATCGGCCAGACCCTTGGGGGACTGTAAGCAAGTTACAACAGCCAGCAATCTAGGGCAAGAGAGTGACCAAGAAAGGATACACAGATGATCTTCATTTGTCACAGCAGAGCTGTGGCCTGCATGAAGCCCCCCTGATTCCTATCGCCCCATGGTCCTCAGCCAATGTAAGTCAGTTTAGCTCCATCTGAGGATCTGGCTCTGTGTCCAGTTTGTCCCTGTATGTACTTGAAGTTTGCCAGATTTGGTGCCACTCCCCTAGGCAGTATATAGGGGGTGCAAGCTTCTTTAATGGGGGAGAGGGACAAGGTTGCTCATTTCAGGCCAATGCAATACAGGGACAATTCATCTCTGTCCAATCCCTACACCTTGTTCATCTGATCTGAACATTTCCTTTCTACACTAGGCTGTAGAGGTGCTCAAGGATCAATCTCTAGGCTGTTTTCTGAAGGTGAGCCCTAGAGTAGTTAAGTCTGCTACAGGTCTGAAGAGGATGAGTGCCTAGATGGTAATTTCCTTTGGAACTGTTTGGATAGTCTGTGACACAGCATTTTCTCTCCGCCCTATTTAAAAAAGTAAACCACTGCTACAGAAGAGGAAATAAGTGTTGCCAAATTGCATTTGACTTTGAATGGAGCTCTTCTCTACACATGAAACGCGATTGGCGCAATCCTGTCTCAGCCAATGTTGCTTGCTTCACACCACACCCCCAAAAACATCAAAAGAATTGGATGGACCGGCAATTCCTGTTCTAGTAGAAAGTTTGTATTGCATGACTGCTTTTATGTGCCATGTTCTTTGTCCTCTTCGGGTTGAATATATTGAGGGAGGTGTCCTTTATGAGGCCATTGGCAAAGTAAAATGCCAGCGCTCTCTTTGCCTTGCAGGTTAACATTATCCCTATAATAGCCAAAGCTGATACGATTGCAAAAAACGAGTTGCATAAATTCAAGAGTAAAATCATGAGCGAGCTGGTCAGCAATGGTGTCCAGATCTATCAGTTCCCGACAGATGAAGAGACAGTGGCTGAGATAAATGCTACAATGAGCGTAAGTATTGTGTTTTTTTTCTGAACCCATCCATCCCCCACCCCCAGGGAGGAGGAATGCTGCATCCTTTTGCTTTTCCCATTGAAACTCAAAGATGAGCCAATAAATAGTTTGATGGAAGCCCCTCTCCACTCTGGTCTGCAGGACTTAATGGAACGGGGTGGGATTGGGCACTGATATTTATTTTAAAAATCTTGAAAAAATATTTCTTCTCTGCTGATCGTGTCCTTTCCCATGTGCCTTTCCCCTTACTAAATATTCCTATCCCCGGGGGGCAGAGTGATGTAGTGGTCAAGGGAGAGGACTTGGAGTGAGGCCTCCTATTCCCACTCGCGGCTTGTTGCTGGGTGATCCGCTTCACCTTCCTTTGATTCAGTTTCTGGAGGAGGACTAGAATCAGGCAGCTGGTGCTCTGGTCCCGTGTGGAGCAGTTCTGGGTGGTGCGGTGGTTAAAGTGGTGGGGACTGCTGGCAACTGACCTGTGCTAGCACGAACTGCACCAGTGGTAGCGATAAGAGAGATTTAGGGAAATAAAGCTAGCGTAGCCAGGCCTTTACACAAGCGTTATGCAGGGAGAGATGAAGTGCACCCTGGGAGGCTTGTTTGCAAAAGCAAAGGAGGAATCTAAGCCCTTTGCCTCTAACAGTATTACAGTAGCTCATAGAGGCCCCCAACCAAGATCAGGGCCCCATCGTGCTAGGAACTGTACATACGCATAGTGATCCGGCTGTCCGAGGGTAGGGACGCCCAGAGCCATGGGGTTGCATCCCTGCCTATCCTGGCTAATAGCCATTGATGCACCTATCCTCCATGAATTTATCTAGTTCTTTTTTGAACCCAGTTATTCTTTGGTGAGAGCAAAAGTTCAACACTCCCCCACTGCTCTTCCTCAGGTGAAGCCCAGGGCTGACTGGCTGCTTGGTATCCTGGAACACAGATTTTATTTGTTCTGTTTTTTGGCAATTAGAACCATTGTCTTGAGGAGATCGGCCATTTTTGCCATTCTAACAACTTAGCTCATGGTTACAACCCGGGCGGCCTAGAATCACGTTAGCTGTGCTTGGCTGAGAGTATGTTTCTAGCCACACTTAGTGCAAGAAAACTATTTCTATTTTGTTATATTTAAAAAAAAATATATTGAAGTTTGTTTCTTGGGAATTTCTCTGGTGCCCACTGCTGTATTAACAGCGCCTCACAAACCTTAAGGGCTATGTTGTGTCTAGCTGCCTTCCCAGAGCCACAAGCTGAACCTGGGCAGTGCCTTAAACAGAAGGCTGTCCTTGCTGTCTGTGGTGCCAGCGCTAAACTGCAAGTTGTCCTCTGTGGCTCCGTCCCGGAGCTCTGGTCATGGAGTTGCACAGTGAAGTGACTGAGGCTATGTCTTCTCTGCAGCTGGGAGCAAGCATCCCAGCACAGGGTAGACCGACATGCACTAGCTTTGCTGGAGCTCAGGGGTAGCATGGGCAGCGACTTGGGCTAGCTGGCCAAGTACGTACGAGCCCGCAGCCCTGGGTACGTACTCGGGTGGCTAGCCTGAGCTGCTGCCTACGCTGCTGCTGAGCTAGCGTATGTCTGTCGGTCCGGGCTGGGAAGCACTCTCGTGGCTGCAGTGTGGATGTAGCCTGAGAGTTTGGATGCTCCAGGAAAGCAGGAGTGGGTGAGCAGAGTGAAATCTAGCCCCTGTGTCCCTGGGGCAGCAAAACTCCGAGAGGGAAGGGGGCGCAAAATCCCAGTGGGTGCATGCCTGGCACAGTGCAGAGCCCAGCCCTGCAATCAGTCCGCATGGCAGCGAGGAAGGGAGGGGAGAGGCAGGCGCCTGGGGAGGAGAAGCACATCCTGCTTCTCTAACTTGCACCCCTTTGGGGCTGAGCGGAAAGGCCAGTGGGAGTTTGTTTTAGCGAGGGAGCTGCAGCTGCTCCATGGCCAGGCAGGGAGAATTTCTCCTTCCATTCATCTGCCCCGTTCTTGGCTTGGCTGCCCAGGCACTGGTCTCTGGACTCGCCCCTTGGTCCATACCAGCCCTTTCAAAGGACAGACTATGAAAATACCACCTGGCCAAGCTCTCCCGAGGCTGGCGTGCAGGCCCAGCTTCCTCTTGGCAGGGGTTTTGTGCATCTCTTCCAGCTGCCGGGACTGTCTGAAATCCCCTTTCAGGGCTTTGATCAGCTGCCTTCGTCCTGGTCTCTCTCCTCCCTTCTCCCAGAGCAACTGGGTGGTGGGAAATGTCCTCCCCCTACCTTCTCCCCACTCATACTCAGGCATGATCTCTGGCGCGCTCCTTACTGGCTAGCACAACTGGCCATAGCGGGTCCCAAGTGTGCTGCTGCTGCAAATTAACACACACCTACCCGGTAGGAAGCCAGGGATGAATTGTGAGGAAGGCTGCCTCCAGGGATGGTGCAGTTTACACACCACCTCTTGCTTAGGGCTGTGTCTGCAGTCACAGCCTAGCCCTTTGCCCGGAAGATCTAACCGTTACTTCTAGCTACTGCAAATGGCTGAATTAAAAGGCTTCGGCAAACATTTAATTTTTAACTTGGCCCCTTCTTTTGAGAAGCACAGTTGTTTTTACTGTGTGGCATTTGATTTTTTTTTTTTTTTTTTTAACATTCAAATCTGTTTCCATTTTGATTGCCTTGTGCAAAGGACACCCGTACCGGGTTTAACATTCGTATGGTCCTCCGATAGACACACAGAGAAAAGAAAATTAATGACTCTCCTATTTGCAGGATTTCATCTCTGTCCCATCTCAAACAACAGAGGGGTTAAATTTGTTATGAAAATGAACATGTTGGGTATTAAGCTGCAGTGAAGCGCACTGACCTTTAAATATCAAGTCCATGTTGTAACGAAATGCAAGTGCTGTGGTTTACTAGGACTTTTTTGTGGGAGGTGGCTCATTTGCTTTAGATTTTTCCTATCTGAAGTCAGAGCATGCCTCTGCTCTAGAGCCTCCATTGATCATCCAAAGACACCAGCTGGATTGCAAAGGCATTTTAGAAACTTGAAATAAAAAATCACAGCTGCTATAGTAAATAGAGTTTTCTTCAAAAACACTCCCTGGCAAAGCAACACAGGAAATCGCTAATCTCTTTGTCTCTTTGCTTTTGTAGGTCCATCTTCCATTTGCTGTTGTTGGCAGCACTGAAGAAGTGAAGATTGGCAATAAGACGAGCAAGGCCAGGCAGTATCCATGGGGGGTTGTGCAGGGTATGTCCAAAGAGAAACAAAAACTCCTTGTTTTATGCCATCCAGTTTAAAAACAAAAATTGCTGATCTGTGGAGGCTGCTTGGCCAATTTCTGCCCTTGGGCAGTAAGAACTTGGCAGTGGTCAAAAAGGCCATTTAAAAAGCAAAACAAAACAGGGTTTCGTAAGCACTTCTTAAAGTTGAGTTTTGTCTCTTGGTCACTTGTGAAAAGCGTGAGCCTACAACCTGACTGATCTGGGGAAGAGCAGGTTAGAATTCAGAGACGTTAGCAAATATTTCATGTGTCACTTATTTTTCTTTTTTAAATGGTCTCTTCTTATGTGCCTGGCATTTCAGTGCCAGCAAACTAACTCTGAATAACAGGGAATGGTCAGCCAGTTGAATGGTTTGCTTTATTTTCTCTCTCTCTCTTGCTCGCACATGGTGGGATTTTCAAGGAATGCAGCACTTGCCTCACTCTTCTCTGATGAAAGTCAATGGGAGTTTTCTCATTGATTGAAATGGGATCGGAGTTAAGCAAATGCTGAGTGCTTGTGAAACTCTCATCCAGAAATTCTAACAAAATGCCAAAAAAGGCCAAATTCTCCCCTTGGATGTGCTGGTCCCTCTGGAAGTCATTGGAAGCCCCACGTCTACCTGCGAATAGAACTTGTCTCTGGGGGCATGTCTACACTGCATGCTAAGCCTGGGTGTGTGGGAGTCGGGCTTGTGGAATTGGTGCCTCCACACCCACACTTGAGTGTCCACACTGCATTGTAAACCTGGGCTTACAACTGCTGGCCCCGGGTCCTCAGGCTGTGTGCGTCCATGCTGCACTACTCAGACCGTCTGACTCGGATCTGCAGCTTGAGCTGCGTCCACACTGCAAAATGACAGGCTTGGACCCAAGTCTCAGCAGGAATTGGGCTCTGACCCACTGCCCTGGCAGGGTTCACGGACCCGGGTCCTGAGTTCTTGCTGATCCGAGGTAGACTGAATTGTGTGTGGACAGAAGGGGAGCTTGGACTCGAACCTGAGTCAGACCCCTGTGTTAGTGTGCAGTATAGACATACCCTTAATGTTTGAAAAACCAGCCCAGAATGTATAGACACTGGTAAAGCGTGCGCCCTGCAATTCACCCCCCTGCAGCTCCCCAAGTGGTAGTAATGGTGGATGGCGTGAAATGGAGAGGGCCTGGTTATTTTTACCACTGTACTGTCTAATCCTGCCAGCATGGATAGTGCTGATGCCCTGCTCTTGGTGCGCACTCAGGCAGGAAACGTAGAGGTATCCGACTGGAAAGCAGCATGTGAGTGACCCAGCACAACAAACTGCAAGAGTGTTTGCAAAATAATTCGTCAGCTGTTAGAACATTTTTCTGCAGTTTCCTCCTGTTCCTGTTGATCACACAAGCTGCTCACCGAGCAACTTGAAACCATGAAGAAAGAGCAATGGGGAAAATCTGCTGAATGCTGGATGTAACTTTCTTTTTTCTTCCTTGATGACCATTTTTCTTTTCGTTTCTTTTGCAGTTGAAAATGAAAACCATTGTGACTTTGTGAAGCTGCGTGAGATGCTGATCCGAGTGAACATGGAGGACTTGAGAGAGCAGACGCACACCCGGCACTATGAATTGTACAGGCGCTGTAAGCTAGAAGAAATGGGATTCAAAGACACTGACCCTGATAGTAAACCATTCAGGTATGAAAGCATAACAAAGGCCATATTCCTTTGTGGGTGTGAGTGACAGCAGTTGTTTTTCCTTCTCTACCCTCCTACACTCGCCTTTTTTTTTTTTTCTTTCTTTCCCCCTCATCCAAACAGCCAAGCATGTTGCCTTTTCAGCACCCCAAGTCCTGGCTAGAGTGAGTGAGATCCAAAATTAGACTCTGATTGCATTGCCACTATTACGCCACTAAGTCAGCCTGCGCCTAAATCTGAGATGTGTGTATGTTTTGAGTCACCTCTGAGAGTGAGTAACCTATTGTGAGGGGACGGTTTTAATTGTGAAGGGAAACAGTCATGTTAATCCTTGAGATTGCAAATAGATTGTCTGCCGGCACCCATCAATGCAAACAGGATTTCTCTCTGCTCCTTGGCAACACAAACCTAGGTGTGTTCCATAGCTCGAGGTAAAAGCTACAGCCTTGTTCTCCTCTCACCAATGCTCACATAACATCATTGATCTCCGTGGCGTGGGGGAGAGGAGTCAGGCCCCCGGTCTGGAAGGTAAGGCCAGACTGACACCAGTGTTAAGCTTCAATGACTAGGCGAAGTTCCACCGGCATGAGTGAGAGGGAGCCGGGCCCCTGCTCTGTAACCAGCTGAAGGGTGAAGTTTATTTGATTTCCTTTCCAGAGAGCAATGACTTAAGATGGGCTCAGCCCTTCCCTTTCAGGAATCCAAGGAATTTCCATTGCTTCCTGTGTACTTGAGGCCACTTTTGCCCAAGTTATAAGTAGAAAGGAAATGGGGAAAGTACCTAATTGTATACATCGGGTGGATGCTAGTTTAAAGTACGCCCACTCCCTTTCCTGCAGTAGTTGTATTTCCAAAATGAGAGAAAACGGTCGTGTAGGGATTGTATCCATTATTCCTCCCAAGACAAGCAAATATGCATTCCCTCGAGTCTGAGTAGTGGTCTGCAATGGGCACGTCTGCAGCACTGCTGGTTCCTCAGCTGGTTCACATTACTCTGTCAGGAGCAGTAAGCATTCGATTAATCTTAAGCCAAGCTGGCTAGGAGACCTCAGCAAACTGTTTACACTAAACAGGATGTTGCAGAAAGGAAGCATGTAAATGAGAGGCCAGTATCAGTGCAATTAAGCTCATTGCAAGAATGCAGGCCACTGCTTGTGTAGGCTCAAAGAGGTGCTAAAATAGGAGGAAGTGTCTGTGTTCCTTAATAGAAGGTTTTGGTTTTGTCTTTTTGTTTGAGAAGAGGTGGTTTGTTCCTCACAAAAAACAGACAGCATCTCTTTACTATTGTACTCCCCTTGCTTCTCGTGCATTTTCCTCCTCTCTGTGGAATCCTTTCCCTCTCTGGGTTGTTAACTGACCTATCGATTTTTAAAATAAAAGCTAGAATGTTTGTTTGTTTTTAAATTGACAGTAATTTGGAAACATGTTTTCCTTCATTGGATGTGAATGTTCAGATTCTGGGAGTTTTCTCTGGAATGTAGGTTTATGCCTCTTTGTTTGCTAGCTGAAGTTACAGCGTCTCTTGAGAGCTGCGACTGGAAGAACTTGCTGAAATCCCAAATGGCCTTGCTTTTATACTCCTCCAGGCTGGAAGTGAGTTCTCCATATGTAATTTTGAATTGCTGGGCCAAATTCTCCGCTGGAATAACGGCAGAGAGGTCAGCGGTGTTGCCCCAACAAAGAATTTGGCCCAGGCGAATTCTGGGGAAGTCATGGAGTTCTGCCAGCAGAGAATTTGCCCCAAACAAATTCCAAGGAAGTCAGTGGTATTACATCAACAAACAATTTAGCTTGCTGGCTTTTGTGTGGTTTGAAAGTTTCGCATGAAGGGTGGGATTTCCAACTGTAGTTGAGGGCCTAACTTTGGTAGGCTCTTCTGCAAATCCCAGTCTAAAATAGTAAGGTAATATCAGTAAAAATGAGTAATTTTGTCTGTCGACGGAAAAAACCCTGCATGAGCTGGCCAGCCTTCCTCCTTCCACACCACCCTGCTCTTTTGTTGGTTACCAAGATGTGGGTCGCAAGGCAGGATATGGAGTGCTTTCAGTTTGGTTTTGTAAGGTTCTGCTGCTCTCTAGAATACTATATTGCAACTGCAGTTTCTAATCTTCACTCAAATGAACAGATAAAACTGAAAGCACGCACAGGGAGCAGCTCTGTTGATGAAGAAGTGGGTTGTAGCCCACGAAAGCTTATGCTCTAATAAATTTGTTAGTCTCTAAGGTGCCACAAGTACTCCTGTTCTTCTTGAAGAAGGTAGTGTTATCCAGAGCCTACACTTGGACACTTAAAGGATTTCAATTAGAGATGGGCCACAAACAGAACCTTCTATCTAAAATTGAGTTTCAGGTAGATTCTGATTCGTTTCTCTGGATCTTTACCTATTATTACCAGTCTGGGACTGTTTCCAGTCCAGATCCAAAAGAAGCTCATTTTCATTTTCCCATTCTCAGATGGTGAGAATCTCACAAGAACTGAACCTTATGAGACTTCAACCATTCAAGTGCTGGGAACCCAGCTAGGTCAGCTGGCATCATGAGACTGCTGTCTCTGTCTGATACTGCAGAAGAGCAGCTCCTGAGAGACCCATTCCTGCAAGGGGCTGTGGGAGCTGGGGTTGCTCAGCACTGTGTGCAGGATTAAACCCAAGATGTAGCAATCTGAAGGCTGTCTGATTGGGATTGCGCGAAGGACTAACGAAGAAAATCCCGGCACGCAATGAAGAATAAAGCACTGGCCCAAAGCAGGAGCAAATGTTTCACTAACTCAGTTTTAATTTTCCTCATTGTGCCTATGCATAGAACGTAGCCTGTGTGTAAACCCACAATCCACATCAATGGAGCTTTAGTTGGGATTGTTTGTTCTCAGGAATGCAACCTGGGGAAAGAGTTGCCAGCAAACTCTAGCTGTCCTTTTGACTGAGATTTTTCAAAGCCACCAAAGGAATAAAATTAATGGGAATTTGGCTTCCAAATCCCCCGAGTGACTCTGAAAATCGCAGCTCTATGTGTAGGTGTGTGTGGGCCGATTTTATCCCCCAGAGGTCTGCTGCAGCAGCTCCTCACTGGGTAGTAAATCAGTGTCAAGAAACAGATTCCATTGTGTTGATGGAGGAATGAAGAATTTAAAGCTGTAAAAGATGGTGATTCAGAGGAAGAATAATAGTCCTTTACGAAACATACCAGCCCAGAATCTGTGTTCTGTTAATCCTGGATCCATGGATCCTACATAGGCTAGATGCCAGACAAACAGAAGATGAGGCAAGAAGATTGGGGGCAGAGAGAAATGTATAACTGATCAGTGGTGGAAGGCTATGATAGCAGCTGGATTGCAGTAAATGCATATGCAGTAGCTGCGTCTGAAGCTGAGTCACTCTTGCTGCCTGTTAAGTGACTTGCAGACTCTGAAAGCCTGTATCTGTTATATAACCTCCCAAACTGGAAGTTCCTTCTAGAAAACGAACTGAGATCCGGCCTTCCAGAAAACTGGAACTGAGATCCGGACAATGTGATCAGGTCTCTTCTCTGAAATTCCATGGCAATGCTGAGTGAGGGGTGACATGCCAAGAGCCCCAAAGCCTGGGGCAAATATCTCTGGTCCATGCACTAAGTGTAATCTTGACTGTTTTTTTCCCTTGTGTATTTGTAATAGTCTCCAGGAAACCTATGAAGCGAAGAGGAATGAATTCCTGGGTGAGCTGCAGAAGAAGGAGGAAGAAATGAGACAGATGTTCGTCATGAGAGTGAAGGAGAAAGAAGCGGAGTTGAAAGAAGCGGAGAAAGATGTGAGTGATTGCTAACCAAAAGGGTTACGCACAGGGGTTTACACTGGGAGCTTGAAAGGGGCCTAAAGGGCTTAGGCATTTGGATCCTACTGAGAGGAAGGATGGCCCACTGGTTAGGGCATGTGCCTAGGTGTTAGGAGGCGTGGGTTCAAGTCCCTGCTCTGCCATAGACTTCCTGTGGGACATAGGGCAAGTCACTTAGGGTCAGATTTTTAAAGGTGTCTAGGCACCTAAATTGATTTTTTCAGTGGGCGTTAGAAACCTAAGCACCTGACCTAAGGTCCTTGTGCCTCAGTTCCCCTGCCCGGACAGTGGGGCTAATCGCACTTCCTGGCTTCTCAGGGTGGTTGTGAGGATACGGACATTGAAGACTGTGAGGGGTTCAGACACGGGGGGGCACATAAATACCGTCGGCACAGAGAACTCTCTCGGGCTTCTTTGTAAAACCCCAGCCGCCATGTAATGCCGGCTCTGCAGATGGGAGTCCTTCCTGCCCAATGAACGGGGCATACGTGCTAGGTCATACAGCTCAGTGGTTCCCCTTCGCCCAAAGCACTGGGGATAGCTGCAGTCTGGGGAGCTGATGGCTTTGCAGGATGGCACCCAGCGCTGCAGACTCTCTGGCTTTGAAGGGGCCACGTTTCAACCATTACAGTCCTTTGAAACCTGGCTGCTGCATCGAGCCTTTCAGCAGCTCAGCACTGTTCTCTGGACTCCCACCCACTGCAGGGGCGGGGTTTCTCAGAGTGCAGCCCCAAAGGGCACAGCCGAACTGTCGTTATCCAAGAGGTCCATGTGAACAGGAGCTGCTCTGTGGAGGTCTAAAGCCGAGGGCCCAATTCCCTGCTTCCTTGCACCTTGTGTTGTCCCGTTGTATCTCTGCAAAGGGGGTGGAACATGCCACCGGGTCAGAGTGGTAGCATTTTGCACCCACTGTCTACTCGCTTTGTGTGAATGTAGCTGTCTCCACGTGGTGCAGGGCCGAGGAGAATCAAACCCTGTGTGTGTAAGTGCACAGATATCTGTGAATGTTATGAGAGATTCTGGGAGGCTTTTCATCAGGTGATCATGTAGCAGTTTTGCTGGTCACCAATGTACAACAGTTTGTCACTGCACACACATGAAAACACAAATTGTATGAGTCTGTTCATTAAAACGAACAAGACACATCGCGGTAACCTTCCCAGTGCTCGGAATTGGGAATGAGTTATCTAGCAGTCCCCAAAAAGCCTGAAGATATGGTGGAGGAGAAATGCTAGTTGGCTTGGGTCTTTCATGCAGTCATCTCAAATCCATGTCAGTACTTAAATGAAATAGATGTTTAAGGCAGTTCTCACACGTAGCTTTCCTGCAGCGAAAGGTGAAATCCTAACTCCCTGAAGCCCATTGGCAGAATAACTAGTATATAAGCACCCAGCAATACCTCTTCATGCTTTGCCCCTCCTTGTAGAATACCAGGAATGTTTAAAATCCCTTTAGGAAAATTTCTTTTTAAAATCAGTAAAACTTGGTTTTGTGGTGAAGGCCCTGGAGGGGGAAGATCTGCCTCCAATTCCCAGCTCTACCACAGCCTTCCTGTGGGACCTAGGCTAAAAATTTTCAAAAGTGCCTCAATGACTTAGGCTTCTTCATGCATAAGAAATTTTGGAAATGGGATTTAGGCTCCTAAGTCCCACTGACCTTCAATCTGACCCTTATTCTTTCTCTGCCTCGGTTACATAATACTTCCTTTGGCCGTCTTGTCTGCTCAAATTGGGAGCTCTTCAGGGCAGGCGCTGCAGTTCTGCTTTACGTGCGTGCAGAGCACCTAGACCAGTGGGACCCCTGTAGGAAGTGCTGTAATACATACAAATAAGAAAAAGCAATCTTCTTTTCCCCTCCCCCTCCAACTCTATCATCCCCTCCCTGTCTGGGCAGCTCCATGAAAAGTTTGACCATCTCAAGCGGACACACCAAGAAGAGAAGAAAAAAGTGGACGACAAAAAGAAGGAGCTTGAGGAGGAGCTGAGCAACTTCCAGAAGAAGAAGGCAGCCGCTCAGCTGCTACAGTCACAGGCTCAACAGGCTGGTTCCCAACAAACCAAGAAAGACAAGGACAAGAAAAAGTAAGGGGCTGTCGCACTACAACCTTGTGGCCTTATTCCAGCGTGTGTGGGCTTTTTTTTCTGTTGCGTGTCTGTATTTGCTTTTTCCCATCATCAGACTGGAAACTGGGCTTTTTACCAGACTGATCAAATAAAATATGATCTCCAAGGGGCGGGCCGGGGAGATGATTTTAAGGTTTCATTAAAAGGGTACCGTAAAGTTTAATTTATCCCTCTGCCTGGTTTGAGAGAGCAGTCAGAAAGTGGAGGTCTAATCTGTGATTTCTCAAGCATATTCGGAACCAACTTTGGGACACTAAGGTGTCAGACTTATTCTCCTGAGCCCAATAAGAGCGTCTCTACTTGTACTTCCTTCCCCCATTTATACTTTAAATATAGTTCCTGATTCTAAATACTTTAGGATTGCGGTTATAGCTATAAACGCCTTTAAAACCAAAAGCTTAACAGCCATGTCATTTTGACATGGAACATTCTAGTGCCAAAAAGTGAATACTTGGGGTGTTTTTTTTTTTTTTTTAAACCATGGTACCTATAATTACAGGTTAATTTAATTCATGTAGTATCAATTCAGCATAATAAGATAGCACAACTGATACATCTAGCAAAAGATAAATGGCATTGTATTTTCTACTATTATGTATTTACACTTGTGAGGCAATTCTACTCAAATACTTACGGGGCTTCCGAATGGCAGAATGTATCCAAGGGCAGAATTTGTCCCTTTATTGGCTTTGTTCCATACACTGCTTTAAAACCCCCAAAACTGTCTCGGGATTGGAGACTTACAATGAAACCAAACAAGTTTGACAGAGCTGAAGTACAATAAGAATGGATTGTCTGTATAGCAGAACAGGACAATCTATTCTAAAAGGCCAGTCTTAGGTAAGAAGTACCAATCTCAGATAGGGTAGGGTTCCTCTTTGATTCTTTCCCAGGTTGCCTGAGATAAAAGCACACCTTTATTTTACTGAAATCACATACCCTCTACAGAGAATGATACTGTAGAATCTCACTGAGTAACACACTTTTTAATCCACACAAAACATTGTTGTCTCCAGACCTCAGCAAATGTTTAATAGCCAATGCTCCTGCAAGGTCTTGCATTATACATAGGGCATTTCCTGGTAGTCTATGAAATACAGTCATAAATAATTAACACTAAGCTGTTGTTGACAAAAGAAAAATGGTTGAAGTGCAATTAATGATGTGGCATTTTTTGCTTTTGATTTGGTCACCTAGGGCTTGTCTGCATGTGGAGTTATTCAGGAATGGCTGGTGTGCTTTAAATTCCCATCCTATCTTAATCTGAATTAACTCTCAAGTGTGGGGAAGACCTTACTTGCTAATTGACTAACTTCAACTATTCATAAGTGGACTAGTGAGCTTCTACTTTATTTCGTGTACACTAGTGTATTTTTCTACAATGGGCAGTGGCACCGTGCTCTCATCCTTGTACCAGTAGAAGCCGGAGTGTGTGTCTCTCGTTTCTGCTGCTGGATCAGTGCTCTGAAAATCACGCCCAGCAAAGACATTTAAAACAAGGAAGGGCCAGTTCCTCACTTGATGTAAATCAATGTAGCTCCTAGGGAGCCATGCTGGCTTACTCTAGCTGAGAATCTGGCTCTGAAAGCTTACGCAAAAACCAGCATAGAGAAAATACAGCATTTTCATGTGTACTGGAAACTCATTTAATTAAATAATCCAAAGAGCAGATCAGTACAGAACTAATAATATCTGGCAGCAACCTTCCTAGGATGCTGAGATTTCTCCCTTGTGCGCTCTCTGTAAATAGGATAGACTGGAACAAGGGTCCTGCCTGGCATGGCTGTTCCCACATTGTGTTCCCCTAGTATTATTGCCTTTTTCTAAGTAACTTGGAACTTTTGATGACCTTTTCCTACTCAGAAATCTCTTAAATGGCGCTGCTAATTTAATATTTATATAAAATCTGCAATAGGTTTCTTCATCTCTTCTGTATCAGACTGAAGCTATACGCAGTGGGGTTTGGTTTTGTAACTTTCAATAGTAGACGTTAGCTACTAGTTGTTCCTGTGAATTCTTCTGGCACCTGCATGAGATTGGTGTATTATATACGTCCTGTTTCTAGCTGCCATTACAAATCACATGGTTTCTATTCTGCCATAGAAATCCAGTCATGAGGAACATGCACTTTGCTTTGTAAATATGTTTTAAAATAGTCTCGCCTCTCAGTATCCTTCCACACCAGCTGTTGGGAGTTGCTCAAATTGTTTTATAATGTTCAAAATTGCTAACAGAAGCTGGAAAGGAAAATGCGGATGCATCTGCATTGTAGCATATCTTGGTTCCTAAAACCTTTAAATTTCCTCTTGCACTCTAAGGAAATGCTACAGTTTTAATAGGTAAGGGTTTTTATTCTTCTTTTTGAACTGCGGTGGCATGACTGTGATGTTTTATACAATTACCAGTGGAAATCAGGCTAATCCCTGAAATGCTCTCAGCTGGATTTCCCTTGTAGCCTCCCCAGAATGCAATTTATTGGACTGCTTCTTTTTAAAGGTGGGATTACACATCTGTAACTTGGACCACTGAGACCGTATCAAAATTCTGCACAAGCCAGCATGATGAAACCGGGCCAAATTCTCTCCTCACCTAACTCCATTGGAGAGAATTTGGTCCCATCCCATGAGAATAAACAGCTGTCCTTATTACTCCCTTTTTACTGTGTTTTTCTGATGGATTCCTGAGTGAAATGAGATCTACAATTCACACACATTTTTCTAACATTTTTTGTTGATGATAGCCCTGGTTAAGGAAAGAATTTTGAGTGGGGGCAGCACTTAAGCATGGGCATAAGTCCCCTGGAGTTAGAGGTATATCATTATTAACTTTTGCATTACCACAGCACCTAGGGGCCCTATTTGTAGACCAGGCCCCGTGTGCTAGGCGCTGTACAACCATATGCTTAAGTGCTTGCCTAAATCCCATCCTGATCCCATAATCTTAGCTGTGGCCTTGGCATTTCTTCATACCTACATGTTCCAGTGGCAGTTGCTGGCAACGAGTGTGGTCATGGCACAACCAGAGTAGGTCCTTTTTAATAAGATCGGTGAAATGCTTCTCGGCTCTTGCCTGTTCCATTGAATAGGTCATCAGCTGCGTACTTAGAAGTGTGCGTTGTTTTACTTACAATTTCTCAGACAGGCACAGGAGTTGGAACTCTTTTTTTGTTTGGCTGCTTTAATGTAAAGTCACTTTGTAAAACAGTACAAGAAACTTCGCTTCCAACTTCCTTTTAATGAAAGGAATTTTCAAACCGGTGCAAATATACTAGGCCGTATTCGGTCCTAGTAGAAGTCCTTAAACTACCCCATGCAGGGTGTTCAGTTGGGGCCTGGGACAACCCCCACTGAAGAGAGACTCCAACTGATTTCAGTGGGATCCGGATCAAACCGGTAGGCTACGTTTTCAAAAGTGATGAGTGACCTTAAAGTGCCCAACTTGAGATGTCTTAAAGGGGCCTGGTTTTCAGAAAATGTTAAGCATCTGCTCTCTGAAAATCAGAATCCCTTTTAAGGTGTCTTAGGGCTGGTCTACACTGGGGGGGGGGGGCCTGATGTAAGATACGCAACTTCAGCTACGGGAATAGCGTAGCTGAAGTCGACATATCTTATTTCGACTTACCTCGGGTCCTCATGGTGCGGGATCGAAGGCCGCGGCTCCCCCGTCGACTCCACTACCGCCGCTCACCCTGGTGGAGTTCCGGAGTCGACGGGAGCACGTTCGGGGATCGATTACTACCCGCCGATTCGGCGGGTACTCTGGATGTACCCTTAGGTTGGGCATGCAAAATCACTAGCCACTTCTGAAAATATTGGCCTAAGTCACTATCAAACAGTAACCTAGTTTGGACTAACTATGTGGTTTGTTTGTTTTTCTCCACTCAGTTTTTCTTTGCTTTTGCTTGTCATATAGAATAGAATTGACTCCAATTTTAAAATTGGTTTCACTCCTTTTTAATTTCGTTTTGCATGGGCGTCCACCGAAGCAGAATGCTGGTGTCAGCTCTCCCATCTTTCTTTCTTTTCTTTCTTTCTTTTGGGTTTCTATTATTTCTAATGTTTTTTGTTTTTGTTTTTTTTTAACTTGCAGTGCAAGCTTCACATAAAGCCTGGCAAGCCAAGGATGTTCCTGCATTCACCTGCTTTTGCAGTAACGCGTCTCTTCCATCTGTTTGGGTTTTGTTTTAAACACAAATAACTATTAACTCATTTAATAATGGAGTGGGTGGGAGAAAGGTGGGTGAAGCAGTGAGCATCTGGAAATTGAAGGGCGGGGGGTGTTTTTGTTTGGAAAGTTGATGCCATTTCTCTCTGGTAAGAACAGCCACAATAGATCAGACCTGCCACTTGGCTTTGAATTGAGAGCAAGACTTGTGCGTCATTGGCTTGATCCAAGGCCACTTAAAGAGATTGGAAGGGTTTTGCTGCTGTTACTCGTTTGCACACACTGCTCTCAACAGGCCACACTGAGAGTCCCCTTACTCGCACTGAATAGCACAAGTACTGCCATGGAAATCTGAAGTGAGTTACTATTCAGTGTGAATAAGATCAGTGCAAACTTAGCCAGAGTCTCCCCAGTGTATTGCTAACCCCAGACGTCCACTTAAATGAGTGTTTCTTTGATAGCTGACTTGTAAGACTGTAGAAATCCCATTGTTAGGTTTTTGTGTGTGTAGGTAACAAAAGAGCAACTGACCTTGCATGCTTATTCTTGCATGAGTTTTTTACCTTATGGATAATGACTTTTGGCCTGGCTTTTTGTTATTCACCCAACGGGTTAAATATTTTTGCAATAACTCTTCTCTATTAAGTGCTGTGGCTAACCACTAAAAGCTGTACAGTGTGCATCAAAAGGAGCTGCAAATTCCCAAGACAGGAGGTTTTCCCCCCTCTATTGCTTTGAAATCAAGAGTCCCTCATCAAAAACTAACCAGGTGACCGAAACCCATCCCAAAACTTGAATACACTTTCCACAGATTGCCTGGGTAAAAGAGTCATCCAGCAAACGCATAAGTACAAGCGTAACTTTACTCATGCAATATAGTTCAGTTGACTTTAGTAGAAGTCCTTATGGGAGTAAATGTTTGCACATGCTTATGTGGTTGCAGGATCAGTCTTGGAATATAGTGTCTTCTGTTGGTAAGTGCCAGTGAACCATTAAAGGAGTAAATTAAAACTCCATTAACTTCAGTTACTCTGTGCTCCTAAAGTGGAGAATATGGCTGTTCACTCTTTACCGGGCTAAGATGTAGCTTATCTTGCTTGACAAAGGCATAATAAAGGTAACATCAATGCACTGATCAGCTTTGCGCAGCCGGCTAAGGCTTGGGATGCAAACAATAATTTGCATTTAAAAACGGTGACTGAACATCTAGCATAAGCCAGGCCTTTTTTTAGGGCGTACTTGGTGTGAAAATTGACCTAACTGTTTAATTTGTATTTTCTATGCCATTCCTTTTCGGACAGAGTGTTTTCCTTTCTGATACATTCCAAGAAGTGGCGACCCATGTTTACCCTCTGACTTCTGGATTTCTTTCTCTACTGCTGATGTTCTGCCAGCTTCCCCTCTGCTCCTAGCTAGGTAGTCTCCTGTTTCTTTCTTTAAAGCACTCTTGAAATTAACCCTCTTCACCTGATCCCACACATTCCAACTTTGCTTGTTTCTACCCAAGCACAGGGGTCATGTAACTACATTCACAAAGGCAGGTTTGTGGGGGGTTGTTTTGTGTTCTTCCCCCCCCCCCCGGCGTAAACATGGCTCTTAGGGGAGGGGAAAGGGTGGCTGGACAAACTGCATAAATTTAAGCAGAGGAAAAGCAGGGAAGAAACTATTTTGAAATTCAAGCTAAGTTGTCATGTGAACATCACAATCATTGGAAGGACTGACAGTTGCAGTAGCCAGGTTAAATAGCAGTAAAAATCCGAGATCCTTGCAGTTTTGCTTCAGCTTAACCTTACAAACTCACTTGGTATTGAACACATGAAACCAGTTTCCTAACCATGGGCTGCATTTGATCATGCACTATGCTCAAGTTTGAAGCTTGTGTAGCGTGCTTCCATCAGCTGTGTCTGTGTGTGTCCTATTTTTAATTAACACGGGGGGGGGGGGGGTTGTGCCAAGTAAGAGAACTTAATTTTAACATTAGTTTCTCCTGCTCAGTTTAAAAACCCTTTCAAGGGAAGCTTGGCAGAGAAAATTAGTTGAGACTAGGTGTTTTTATTTTGGACACAAAGCTGTTGCCAATGTATTAAATGCTGGGGGGAGGGATTGGTTTGTTTCCCTTTTTAGCAAAGAACCATCGTTTTGGAGAAGCCGGGAATAAAATTTAAACTTACAAATTTTTTTTTTTTTTTCCCAATGGCGCACTAAGATTTAAGAATCCCTGGGCCATGTTTAGCTTGTTACTGCTGCACTTCTCTCCTTTCTGTATCTATGCCTTTTTTCACAGTAGTCCCTGGCTCTGCACGGAATAAGTGATCCCCTCAAATCTAGTTGGATGTGCTTTCTTTCACCTTTGCATGTAAGTACAGCAGCAAGAGACCTCTCTGCCCACTTTGGAAATGAATGAAAGTTGACTTTTCTATAAGTGGCAATGCTGAGGGTTCTTTAAAAACTTTTATTAAACAATAACCATCTTCAGCTGGGATTTCTGAAGGGAGTTAGGCACCAGCTCCTATTGGCTATTAGGGACCCCAACTCATTTGAAAATTCCAGCTTAAGGTAGCATTCGCTTTTTCATGACAGCTACATAACCCTAACTCTTGCTTGTGAGGATCTGCGAAGGGTAGGATGTTTAAACAACGACTAGTCACTGATAATGCTGCATTTCCCGGAGGTGCTGGGATGTCCCTTTTTAGGATGTTCTAAATGAGCAGGAACAAACAATGGAGAGTGCAGATCTGCGCATTAAAGCACTCCCTGGATGTGGAATAAAACCCATAGGCAAAGTCTGAATGACACACTGGCCAGCCGGGGACGACTGATACTTTTTCCAAAATGCACTGCTGTGAGTATTGGGGGTTGACTTTCAAAAGCACAGATTAGGCACCTTATTTCTACTGACTTGACATCTCCTTGGTTATAAAGGGGTCATTGTTCAAGAGTGCTCAATATTGGCCTCACTGCTCCTCTTTAAATCCATGGGGAAACTCCCCTTGAAGTTTTGAGGAGCAGAGTTAGGCCAACACTGAGGGCTCTGGAAAAATCCCACTCTGTGTATAATGTTTTATATAAGAATGAAGTAAATAGTGTGCCCTTTCTTACCCTGGGCCTTGTGACTGTGGTTATCCTCAGTGGTTACTATGGCTACCTGAGTACTTCCAATAATCCATCTCATCTTTCAGTATAGAGTGACATGTCATTTTTGTGGCTGATGGGAAAGGGGGAATTACAAGGTATTCCACTCAGTGGCAGCTCCAGGCCGGAATCTGAAACAGCTAGTAAAAACTGGCCATGGTTCTGATCTGCAGAATGCATCCACTCAGCTGCCAAGCCAGACTCTGTGTTCCTAGCTACGGGCTACTGGGAGTTTTCTTAAATACAAGATCACTTACCCTTTTGCTGCCTTGTATATGTTACCTGCTTATAACCCTGTCAAGAAGACTTTTGTATTTGTGTCTTTAAAAACAAACAAACAAAACCCTTATTTAACACAATCAAGGGTTTGTTTGTTTGTTTTTCAAGTAGTTCTTGTTCTACTTTTAAACTGTTGTGATGAAAAACAGCAATGTCTTGTGTGTGTTATCAGATCTATCCATTTGAATCATGTTGTGATTTGCCATTCTCAAGCTGTTAGAAACAGCTTATTCCTGTCACATCCTTTCTCCAAGGAGCCCAACTGCATTTACAGTATAGATCATCTAGGAGGCCCTAAGGGCCAGGGTGTGACAGCCTGGGATTATACAAATATGAAGGGTGTTTTTTTAAACTAACTGAAAATAAAGCTGTGAACAGCAGTAGGAATATTTTGTGTACTTATTTTTAAATATATGCTGATGGCCTTTAAACTAGAGGTGTAGAACATTATTACCTTGCTCTTTGAAAATAACCCATGTTTTTGTCCAAATGACTGTATACCTCCAGCCAGTGTTAATGCAGAAGTATATATGTATGACTCTTAGATGTCTTATTGGTGTCAAAATATTTCATTTCTGAAGTTCAAAATGAATCATAGCCTTCCGCCACAGTTCAGTTCCTTTTTTTTGTATGTGCTCTGGGGTGCACATGTGAATCGTGCCAACACACAAAGTGGGAAAGGGGAAATATATTTTTACCCAAACACTCTAGTTTTTGTGTGGCCTTTGTAACTTTCTTTTGTTGTCGTTGCTGGCTGTTGGGTGAAAAAAGGAAGTGAATGTATGTGTGAACGCCAAGGGTGACGTTTTCATGCTTGCTTGATGTTGAGGCAGACATTTCTTGTTCTTGGTTGATTGCTTCTGGGATGTGCCAAGGTGGGTCACAGTGGCAGCATTCATTTTACCCCATTCCTTGCTCCTCTTCCCCCATTCACTAAACAGTAGCTTGATGGGCCCAGATCCTTGCACTGCTCCTGCTACATTAAAGCCTTCACGTATGCACACACGCCCGCGCACACACTCACTCTTTCTCTCTCTCCTTCACAGCTTACTTCCTTTAAAATGTTTCATTTTCTTTTTTCCTTTCATTTGGATTCTGAACCTTTTCTTTTTCTTTTTTCTGTAGCTTCTTCTTTATGTAACGGTCACCTTGCCAAGCCCCCACTCCCTTTCTCCTAATGGGCACTAGAAGAGCCAGCGGGAAATGTACGCACCCGTTGGGAGAAGAGTTACCTCATTCTTCTATGAGCTCCGCCTTGCTCTTTAAAGCGTGGGTCAGGGAAGTACGTAGCTGTAAGGGTCTGTTTGCTCCCCAGGGCTGACCAGTATGTCAACTCCAGGATTTTTGTTACCACCAAGAGAGAGAGAATAAGTGGACTAGAGAACTTGGATGCTATCACAGATATGACATTGGGAACTTTTTTCTTTTGCCATCACCTGCACACGGCTGTCAATTAAATAAGAAGCTTATTGACCACGGACAGAATGAGTGTCCAATAATAAGCGATGATTGCTGAGTAGTAGACTTAAGCTAGCACCAACTCTAACCCTCTCTGACAAACCACCTGATCTGGCTACTCTGAAAGCCGTGCAGTCATGAGGCGTATGCTCCTGTGCATTTTAAACCACTTATTAAAAACAGTTCCTTGGACAGGGATCACTATTTTTCAGTATTAAGTGGCATGAGCAGAGAGAGCTGCTATTTGATACTGTTGTGTTGATGGAATTTGTTCAGTTGTTTTCAGCTGATCTTCTGCCTCTTCATGTGCAAAATGGGATCTTTTACTATGAAGTCCAGCCACACAGATCGCTGTCTGAGGAGAAGACTATTTTTAACTATGTGACGCCCATCCAGTAATGTTTACATCCTTGATGTTGTCTTGCTGTGGGACATGTGTATAACTTTCACTTGTTTACTTCAGAAGCAGATTCAACAGCGAAGAGCTTGAAAAGTGCCAAAAACTTGCTAAAAACAAAGTAAGCTTGTAACGTATTTTACACATGCAAGTCGAGTGCCCTCTAGTGTCAGTGGGCTCTGTTCATTATGATCCTCATTTTAGGTGTATTGGGGGGGAGTTTTTCTAATTACTTGCTGCCCAGCAGTGGATGTTCATTGCTCCTGACCACACCTCATTTCAGTGTGGAGTGACAAAGGGAATGCAGAGTATTTTATGTTGCCTCCTTTCTTGTTTACAGAATAAAAGGCACCATCGTTCCCAAACTTGCTTACATGCTTTTTCAGACTCCTGCTGCTGGAGAGAGGGCTGGGCTTAGAGTGACAAAACAACCATTTCTTCAATCTGATTAAGTGGATTTGTGCTTATACGTCAAGGAAATATTTAGATCAGCCTTACAAAATTATGTTTACCATTTCTGGTATTCAATTTAATTGGGTGAACTGTACTCTCCTCCTGAAGGAGTGGGAGAAGAATTTTGCAATAGTCAAAGATAGGGAGAAAACTTGAGTATGGCGTTAAGGCCCTGTACCAGACTCGCTCGGAAGAAACCACCTTCAGAAAATGTTTGAAATGTATTAAGTTTAGGACACCGGGCCTCAATGAGGGAAGTGTTTAAACACAGGGTTAGTGCATTGCTGGATTAAGGCCTGACTCCACTCTTTGACGACTTCCACAGATTTTACTAAAGTGGTAACAATGTGACCTTTACTGATATACCTCTTAATCTCATAGAACTGGAAGGGATCTTGAAAGGTCATCAAGTCCAGGCCCCTGCCTTCACTAGCAGGACCAGTTTTGCCCCAGATCCCTTAGTGGCCCCCTCAAGGATTGAACTCACAACCCTGGGTTAAGCAGGCCAATGCTCAAACCACTGAGCTATCTCTCCCTCCCCCCCAAGAAAGTAGTTTTTCACCCCAGATGGGACTTGAACCCACAATCTCTGACTTAGAAAGCCATTGCCTTATCCATTAGTAGAGTTGAACCCCATCTTCTAGCACTGCTTGATCAGGCCGTGATGTTACCATGGTAGAAGGATACTGGTTTGATCTATATGAAGCATAGGTCTCGGGGCTCTCATGGTGCTGCCACTGAAAGCCAATGCCACAACTTGCATTCATTTCAATAGGAACAGGACCATGGCCTATATGACTTTAGTAGAAACAGCTGAGCCCAGGTGAAAGTCACCCCTGGGCAGAGGGTCAGCTAGAGGCTTAGACATTACTTAGCTCCCTCTGAAGCCTTCATTTAACAATAAGCTATATGCATGTGCTTAAAGGGTAGGGTAATGTTTTCAAAAGCACTGAAGTCCTTGCAGCATCAAGGCCCTGGTGAAACAGGTGCAGATCCACGGGATGATGTCTCACCCACGGAGTTTATAATGGCCCTGCCTTCCAGACAAGTTCAGTTCTATTTACTTAGCCCCCGCTCCCATGCTTGTGCCTCACTCCTTTTCTCCTTCATTCACTGCTGCATGCTCTGAGTCCCTACAATAGCCTAATCCGTTTTGAGTATTTTTAAAATAAAAAGGTAATGGGGCCCTGCTCTGTGACCAGGGATCCCAAGCACTGCTACACCACAACCAACGCCGAGAGAACGTAAACACCGGGAAACCAGTCTTACCCCATCATCTAACAGTGGGTGCTGGAGTCTCTGCTCTCGGTGGTTTTATAAGCAGTGTAACAACGCTTGAGTCTCAGCAATAGGAAGGGAGAGGCGAGTCAGGCTCTCTTGGGTTAACTGCAGTGGTCTGCTATTCTGCAACCAGTCAGCACTGCAGGTTCTCAGCACCTCTGGGAAAATCAGGTCCCTTACGATGGATTTAAACGTCTTAACTTTAAAAGCCCCCAAGGGTGGGACTTGTACCCATTACAGATAGCCTCAGACTGCCCATGCTATGCTTGTACAGATTACACTTCCCTACATATCGCTTCCCCTTTAGTTTGCGTAGGTCACCAAGCCAGCCCATCTAGTGAAGCAGCCTGTACAGGGTCAGAAATAGGAGCTGCTCACCTGTTCTCTTCCAGAGTAACCCCCATCTCGTGCTCTGCTGTACTGGAGTCCCTAGGCTTGATAAGCTCAGCAGCCAAAAACCCTAAGGCAAGGAAGAAGTGGCAAGATGGTTAATTTGTTGTCCATTAATTATTAATCATGTTAATTACAGTCGTGCCTAAGGGCCAACCAAGAATGGGGCCCACATGGGGCTAGGTGCTGAACACTCATGGCATGACAGGTCAATGTCGTAACAGGAGCTGGACGTGGTAACCTCATGGTGAACAGTGCAACAGGCTGCCGTGAGGTTGACACTCCAGTGACTGGCTTGGCAAGGCAGGAGCTCTACGTAACGTGCAGGTTCCTCTAGGCATTTGTATCCGTGTCCACAAGGCACTTCCTCCTGTGTGTGATTCATAATAAAAATGTGGTTGTCGGGTCTTGTGTGGTCTTTTAAATGCTCCCATTTTTCCATGCACAGTGGTGAAGTGTGGCCAGGCCACCGCCCAGAACGTAAATGATGAAGTTGGGCCTCACACGTTAGCAGCACCTGCTTCCAGCGGGCTGCCCTGCCTCCAGCAGGTCACAGGCATGCAAGGGCTTCATTGCTCCTGTGCTGTGGGGATGGAGCTGGAGGAAGACTGGACCAAAAAGCAATGCACCGTTGCCCATTAGAAGAGAAGAATTATTACTTTTTTGGAGCCGCTGCAGCACATTAGTAGAAGCAGATGGTACCGAGACATTTGGCACGGTCCCTCTGCTGAACACGTGCCTGTCGGCGTGACACACATGAGCTTGGATTTGGCTCACTTCTAGGGCATAAAAATGTACTTTTCAGCCGCACTAAGGGTTCAGTCAAAAGACCCTTGAGCCCAATGTAAAGACTCCTATTGACTGCAGTAGATTTTGAGTCAGGCCGCAGATGAGAAAGAAAATAAACTTACACACACACACAAATTGCCACAGGAAAAGCGAGTTGGGCTTGTGCCCACCCAGTGTGGTTCGGAGCGGACACGCCTGTCTGCTGGAGGAAGTAGATGGTGAATCATTTACTAAGCAACCATGCCCATAACACAATTTGATTGACATCATTGTGTGTGATATCACCACGCCGCTGCACTGTGAGAGACGATAAACTTCATGAAAGGAGAGGGAATTGGGTTTTTAAATGAGGAATTTATACTGTTCACACAATAAATAAAAGGCGAGTATCCAAGTAGGGAGACGCTAATTTCTCTAGAGACCTTGAAGAAGTGGAAAAGGACTAGAGTATAATTGCTTTCCCCTTACATCCATTTCCGCTGCTGCCTGTACAAGACTAAGAACCTGGGGCATGCTGAGAGCTGTGGGGAAGGGCTGGTTTTGTCGCTCGAGGTGGATATGTGCAGAGGGAAATTGGAAAACATCTGGAGGGAATTATTTAAAATATTAGGATTCAGATCACCTAAAGGCAGAGCCTGCTTTATGCACACAGCTCACCCCTGCCATTTACCCATGGGGTTGTCTACATCAGCACAAAGTGGGTGCAGATCAAAAGGGAAAGAGTGCAGGGCACCAGTGAATCAGGGCCTGAATTCTAGACACCATCGTCTGTTCCCTCTCCACCCACATGTTCCGCGCCAGACTCAACTGTAGCCCCGGTCAGTCCCCTAGCAAGACAGCTCCTTGGTACGAGAGCAGCTGTCCTTTTCATTCTGAGACAGCTCCCACGCACCTTTGCAGCCTGAAGCATTTGGCTTTGTAAACTAGCAGGGCTGTCATATAATTATGGTTAAAGTGGCACCACACTATTTTCCCCTCTGGATAACAAGCGTTCACGCCAAGTCAAAATCTGCGGCTTTCGTGCCCTAAAATAATTCAAAACAGAGTGTAACAGCCACTTCAGCCACAGGAGGGAGGCAGAGGCTGCAAAAGACGCCTTATGTGACTCTCAGCTAACTGCGCTCTGAGCCGTTATTCTAGGGCAGTGGTTCCCAAACTTTAACCACCTGCGAACCCCTTGTGCTAAAACGTCAAGTCTCGCGACCCCCCCCTCCTAAAAATGAATATTTCCAGACGTTTTCTCCCTTACCTCAGCATGAATTATAAAAGCCGTGATCTTGGAAATATAAAATTTGTTTTTATGACAGGCTTATTACACACTACTATTTATCACTACAGTATTTTTATTACATTATGAAAACAGCAACTCTTCCAAGATCTCACTTTTGATTAAGCCTGTTAGAAGACGAGGCGCCAATAGAAAAAAAGGGGTGTGGGGGTAAAGCCCCCACACACCCCAGGGCCGGGGGGGCACTGCTGGAAAAGTGGGGGGGCCCCAAGAAAAAAATGAGGAACCCGCGGGGGGGGGCGCCAACGCTGGAGTGGCACGTGATCCTCGCCCCCCACCCCCTGTACTGGCGTCTCTCGCTCCTAAGGAGTATCAGATGTGAAACAGCAGGAAGGTATTTAAGAAGCCAACTCAGAGTTCCTCCTACACAAGCATTCAGGTCTTGAGCAGTCCAGGCAAACGACGCACGTTACAACAAAGCTTAAACTTGTTCTTCATAATTTAAAAACACTAGCAGCCTCTTTAATTTTAAAAACAGCAAAAAATATCCACCTCCCTTTCCATTTCTTAAAAGAAGTCTTGAAGTTTAAATCTCCTGATAGATATGCTTGCTTTGATCTGCTTAGCTCTTGGAAATCCAGGGGCTCGGGGCTGCTGGCCCCGTGCTGCCCGGGGTCCCTATGGACAGCTCTATCCGCCATTAGGGAATTCTCCCCCCGAGAACCCCCTGTAACATTTCATGAACCCCCGTTTGGGAACCACTGTTCTAGGGTCAGGGGATGTGGAACATGGCAATCGGCGGTGTGATTGCAGCGCAGGTAGGCATGCCCAGGCTGACTCCGATTGAGCCAGTGCCGCTAGCCCTAAAGATGCAGTGGTGTGGGCTGTACAATTTTGCCCAGACCCTGGAACTTTAGCCCACACCTCCGCATCGTTGCTACTATTCTTAGCGTGCTAGCTAGAGTAACGCTCCCGTGGGCACGACTACCTGAGCTACCATCACTCCGACTGCCCTGTAAACATTCCCCGCAGTCCTGCACACCATGCAGCTGGCCAGTTCCGGGGAGGAAGGGGGGGGGGGGAGGAGAAGAAAAACGGGACATTTCATCGGAGGAAGCATTGCAGGATCCGGCTCAACGCTGGGAGCTTGTTTAGCAATGGTGTGAGAGTGATGTTAATACGCTGATGCTCAGAGAGGCTGAGCAGCTGGGTGAGAGCCCCTGCTCTTCCATGCTTCCTATCACATCACAGTGATAATGGAGCCAGAGAACACAGAGTAGGGGACAGGATGGTCAAGGCCGTGGGCAGCACACATCAGCCTCGCTGCACCCCATGGGAACAGCAGAAGGGAGCGAATAGCGCTATGGGACTGGATTAGCTTTACTGTGGCTTCTCTGCACTGGGGAACTGGCAGGGCAGGGCCATCCCGGGCCGTGCAGCTCACTACAGCCACGTTGGCAGGGAGCTGGGGGCAAAGCTGTGGAG